GAGCCTGGCGCTGTTTCCCAGGCTGAAGTGCAGCAGCGCAATCTCCGTTCACTACAACCTCTGCCTCCTGGGTTCAAGAAATTCTGCCTCAGCCTCCCGACTAGCTGAGATTACAGGCGTGTGCCACTATGCCTGCCTAATTTTTACTATTTTTAGTAGAGATGAGGTTTCACCATGTTGGTCAGGCTGGTCTCCAACTCCTGACCTCAAATGATCCTCCTGCCTTGGCCTCCCAAAGTGCTGGGATTACAGGCATGAGCCACCATACCTGGCCTTTTGCAAAATTTAAATTTTTTAAATGAACTGAGACTTATTTTATGGCCCAGCCTAATGGTCTCAGTTGGTAAATTATTGATATGCACCTGAAAAGAATGTGTATCTGGAGTTCTCAAGTGTGGTTTTCTATCAACATCAATTAGGTCAAGAAGGTTTACAGTATTGTTCAAGTCTGCTACATCCTGACTGATTTTTTTTGTCTATTTTTTCTATTCTTTATTGGGAGAGTAGTGTTAAAGTTTCCAACTATCCAGTTCCAAAAGGCCACATATAATATGATCCCATTTATATGAAATGTCCAGGATATCCAAATATATGTACACAGAAATTAATCTGTAGAGGCTGAGTATGGTGGTTCAAGTCTGTAATCCCAGCAATTTGGGAGCCCGAGGCAGGCAGAACATTTGAGGTCAGGAGTTCAAAACCAGCCTGGCCAACATGGTGAAACCTCCATCTCTCACTTCCCACTTGACACATCCCATTTCCCACTTCACACTGACATTCCAATTCACAAATGTATTAATTTTTTTTTTTTTTTTAATGTGTAGAGACAGGGTCTCTCTATGTTGCTGAGGCTGGTCTCAAACTCCTTGGCTCAAGCAATCCTCCAGCTTTGGCCTCCCAAAGTGCTGGGATTAAAGGCATGAGTTACTGTGCCTGGCCACAAATGTACTAATCTTACAATAGCAGAATTCCATTTACCTGCCCCGGCTTGCCTTGTGCCATTGTCATAACTGTTACTTTTATATGTGTTTTAAAGTCCAACTTATGGCCATAAGGGGGCATAGTCATAAGTTGGACTTTAAAATACACATAAAAGAAGAAGTTACGACAGTGGCACAGCACCTGGCCAAGGGAAGCAGGGGTGGGTAAATAAAATTCTACTGTTGTAGAATAGTAGAATTCCAGCCTGTAATCCCAGCACTTTGGAAGGCTGAGGCAGGAAGATTGCTTAAGTCCAGGAGTTTGAGACCAGCCTGGGCAACATGGGGAGACCTCATCTCTACAAAAATATTTTAAAATTAGTTGGGCATGGTGGTACGTGTCTGTAGTTCCAGGTACTCAGGAGGCTGAGGCATGAGAATCACTTGAGCCCAGGAGACTGAGGCCGCAGTGAGCCATGGCTGTCTCAAAAAATAAAAATAAAGTCCAATTTACAATGTTGTTATTTTGCTTTAAGCAGCAAGTTGTCTTTTACAGAAATTATGACAAGGGAAAAAAGTGTTTTATGTTTACTCATTTCCAAGCTTTGTTGGAGTAGGTCTTACTCTAGTTCATGGTGCTTACACCTAAAGCATGGCATTGCTGGTGTTTCAGATAGATGCCCACGGTGCTGAAGAGGTTTCTCCATTTTGGCTGGCCCAGACTGCCGATATCGTCCAGAACTGCTCAACTTCTCCAGTTTTATTTCCTGTTCTCAATCACATAGCAGCTGTTCTCTGGTAAGTGTCACACAGTCTCACCCTACACGTGCTAGCACAGTCCCCAGGCAAGGACTTGCAGTGAACCCCATACAGACTTATGGGAACCCCCTTCAGTATAGCTCCCTCCTCTGTAATGCACCGCTCCACGGATTCCAGCTACTTCAACAGCCCTGAACTCTGAGCTTTGTCCCTCAGCATGGCAGGACTGCTGTGCTCTGCTTGAGGTCTAGTTCCCCGCACTGCAGTCGGGAATTGTCTCCAAGCAAAGGACGGGGGCAATTGTGGGGCTCACTTTCTGGGTTTTCCTTCTGTGGATGGTTGTTCCCTAAATGACACAACAATATCTCCCATTCCTACATTCTTCTCACAACATGACTTTAACACTCCTCCCAGCAATTGTGGGGTCTACCTTCCCTACCCTTGAACCTGGGAGGGGGCTGTGACTGCTCTAGCCAATAGAGAGCAGTAGAAGCAATAGTAGGTCATAAAAAGGATATAGTTCCTCTCTCTTCTCCCCACTCCCAACACTCATCCCCAGGGGCCAGACACCATGTTATAAGGAAGCCCAAACTAGCCCACATGGACAGACCATGTGGAAAGGTCCATGTGAAAAATAACTGAGGCCACCAGCCAACAGCCAGCATCGACTGCCAGATATCAACACACTTCAGATGATTCCAGTCCCAGACACTGTAGAATGGAGACAAGCTGCCTTGATGCGCCCTATTTGAAATTTCGACTCACAGTATCTGTGAACTCAATAAATGGTTGTTTTACTTCACTAAGTTTTGGGGGTAATTTGTAATGTAGTCATAGTAACTAAAATACTCTCTTAAGGAATTGCAGCTCTGTGCTGTCTGCTGTCCAATGCTGAAAATAGTCGCCTTACATATTTTGTCCTGTATTATTGTCGTGAGGGAGCTAGTCTTCAAGCCCAGACTTTAAGCCGAAGCTGTATTCTCTAAAGTCATGATAAAGGTAATAACAACATTGAGAGCAACTTCCTTTTATAGACTGCTTTCTATATCCTATGAACTGTGCTAGGCATTGTGCATATGTTATTTCAGTGAAACCATACAACAATCCTGTGAAATAGGCATTATTAACCCCCGTTGTATAGAGAAGAAAACTGAGGTTCATAGAGGTTAAATGAGTTATCCATGGTTTACATATGGGTTTGTCTGGCACTGAAGCTCATGCAATTACCCATATAAAAAACACATATAGACACATTCCCAGTTGTGTGTGTATATATGTAATATATGTATACATACACACACATGTGTACATGCATAGGCATATAGAGACACATACACACCCATTACACATTTCCAGAGTTTTTATGCTTTTAAAATATTTTCTTGTTCTCAGAGTTAAAAATCCCCTTCCCCCCAATTTATGTTAAATAGACTGAAAGAAAATCTGCTGGATATTAAGTTTCCCAAGCATACCCCAAGATGAAATTCTCTCCATCTGGGGCCACCACAGGCATGGGCAGCAGAGATATGCCTCTGTTCCCTTGCCAGGGATTGCCTGGGACCCGAACTTGCAGGGAGGTGGGGTGGGACTCTTAAACAAGACTTGGCTTGGCAGACAGAAGCCTTCTCCTGGGGCTGCAAGGACTCTGTACTTGATGTTGTAAGAGTCTCAATTCAGAGAAACAAAGTGCTTCTCTGAATGTGCAGAGAAAGCAGAGAGCCCAGAGCAAGAGCCCAGTGCTAGGAAGGGAAGGAGTGGAAGGCGACGAGAGATAATCCCTTGTTGAAGCAGGGTCATTTCCAAATATTCCCCAGTAGTGATGGGAGCTGGCTGATGGAAGGATGAGGCATTCAGAGAGGGCCCTCTTCATTCTGCAGTTTCCCCAAATTCAGCTTGCCCTTCTAGGGAAGGGGAGTAGGGAGGATACTGAGAAGCTCTCAATGGGCAGTTTCAGGGCAGGAAAGAAGCTCTTAGAGGAGCAAGAGTCTCAGGGCAGAGCGTTGAGCTCAGTAATTCAGAACCTGTTCATATTCCAGCCGGGCGCAGTGGCTCGCGCCTGTAATCCCAGCATTTTGGGAGGCTGAGGCAGGCGGATCACTTGAGGTCATGAGTTTGAAACCAGCCTGGCCAATGTGGTGAAACCCCGTCTCCACTAAAACAAAGCAAAACAAAACCTGTTCAAATCCCTTCTCCTTAAAATAGTGTAGACCCTGGTCGTATTCTTGAGAAGTAAGAACACAGGCAGACATGCTTCTCTAGGGGGAGAAAAGAAACGATACTGTTGTGTTATTACAATCATTTTGTTTTGTTTTGTTTTGCTTTGCTTTGCTTTTGAGACAGAGTCTCACTCTGTCGCCCAGGCTGGAGTGCAATGGCAGGATCTTGGCTCACTGCAACCTCTGCCTCCCGGGTTCAAGTGATTCTCCTGCCTCAGCCTCCCGGGTAGCTAGGATTATAGGCGCCCGCCACTACGTCCGGCTAATTTTTGTATTTTTAGTAGAGACGGGCTGGTCTCGAACTCCTGACCTACGGTGATCCGCCCACCTCACCCTCCCAAAGTGCTGGGATTACAGGCGTGAGCCACGGCGTCCGGCCTACAATCACTTTTATCTAAAAAATAGATGCCCCATATTGATCCCCACCCCTATCTCACAAAAAAATTCCCCTTGCGCAACCTGCAGCAAGCAAGTTGAGTCCAAAGCAAGAAAATGGAAAGGGAGCTCTCTAAGGTGCCTGCCCCCTTTTCTCAAGTTCAGTCCTGAAGCCCCGTTTAAAGCTCCTTAGAAGCAACTCTTGAGAGTATACTGCTCTTGGACACTTTACACACAAAGAAACTAGTTCTGAGCAGTTTCAATGGCTTGCCCAAGCCTGAGGTCAGCGGCGGTCCCCGGCCAGGAAGCCAGCGCTGTGTTCCGCGTCCTGGCCAGCCAGCGGTACCCTCTCCACAGCACCAAACTGAGGCTTCCACACCGTTCGGGGGCACCCGACGAATGAACGTCATTCTCCCCAGCCTAGGTGGTAAGGGAGAGTGGCCCCGTGCCAAACTAGGGTAGGAGGTCCCCTCTGGGCTCTTGTCTGTCTGTCCGGTCTCGTCTCTGCACCCACCCCAGCCCATCAGTGCGGATCCGCGTGCCTGTGTGGTTCCAGCCCGGCACGGGGAAAAAACTGCCCGGCTCTTTATGTTCAAGTGCGAAGGGGGCGGAGGACGGGGGAGGGTAATGCAGATTGTCTGCTCACAGGGGACTGCCAGGTGGCCTGACTGCCGAGTTCTGACAGGTCTCAAGCACGCGCACCGCTCTGCGCCAGGTACACACCGCGTACCTCCGCCTCCTTGCGCAGCTCCTGGCCTCCGCGCTCCGCGGGCTGGGC